ATGCTAATATTCAATGAACACATTCACAGTAGTGTACCATCCTAAAAAAAGAAATTCCCATCACTGCATTCATTGTTCACTAACAGTGGAAGTTATATATATATCTTTTATAAATCTTGATTTTCTGATTGTTCCAAAATATATTCAGTTTTATTCTTCTGATGCTAATTAATATTTAAAGTTCAAATATTTGTTCTTAATAAACACGATGCACCATGTTCTGTACGTTAAGAGTGATGACGCTGCCATTTTCACGTGCACCCTTTTCGGGATGAAGAGTTTACACATTACTCGTTCTAATTGTCTCAAATCCTCACGAGCCCAGTAAATTACTGAACATGCTTAGTGTGTTTTCGTATCAAGTACTAGTGACGTTTTCTGTCCCCAAAGTGTAGCAAAATAAAGGAAATAAAATCCTTAGAATGTTTTTATACTCTATGTTTCATGTATTTTCATACTTGGTGCATATACTATTTATTGACCAAGTTTACTTATAGCTGTTAATCTCACTTATGTATTAAATAATTAATTAGAAATAAATCCAAATTGTAATAGCGAATAATCATTTCAAAATATACGGTATATATTTTTTTTTTCTCTCAAGATTAGCTTATAGTAAATATGTTCTGTGGATTTTTGTTTTACTTATATATATATTGCAATCTTTTCAAAATTATTAACATTTCTGTTCTGTTAGTATCCCCCTTTTGCCACGTAGGCACCATTCTCGAGCAAATGATATGTGACCCCTCCCCCCTCTGATGTAGGGATTTGGATGAGGTAAGAATAGTGTTTCATTTAATTCCTGATCGGACGCCACGGAACATTAATTCTACTTTGTAAGAACAGAAAATTTTCATTATTAATTTCAGGTTCTTCTGGTACATAACCTCAATTTAATCCAAATATTCTTTCGGGAATTATTCTCTCATGCAATATTTTGCTGGGCCAAAAACTAAAATTATATATTTTTCTTTTTTTTTTTCGTGTGAATCCGTAAATACATTCTACTTCTCAATAATTCTGAATGTCAAACTTTCATATAGCAGACTCGTCAATTATCTGTGAATCCGTAAATACATTCTACTTCTCAATAATTCTGAATGTCAAACTTTCATACAGCAGACTCGTCAATTATCTGTGAATCCGTAAATACATTCTACTTCTCAATAATTCTGAATGTCAAACTTTCATATAGCAGACGCGTCAATTATCTGTGAATCCGTAAATACACTCTACTTCTCAATAATTCTGAATGTCAAACTTTC